ATAAATACATATGTAGTGGTAATAAACAGCTTGATAGCAAAAGAAATATTCATGTTATATAAATAAATCTCAAGATAAACTATTTTTGTTTGCATTAAATACTTTTTAGGCATGTTTTCCATCTATTCCTCATAAATCCTCTTTAGGTTACAGAAAATTAAAGATAATAATCAGAACGTAAAAAAGAAATTAAAGCAGATAACTGAGAAAACCACGTCTGTAGAAGAGAAAGCTACCAATTTGGAAGATATGCTAAAGGAAGAGGAAAAAGGTGTAAAGGTAACATTTAGTTTTAATTTTTTTAAATTCACAGAAAATTTAGCAAGAGTGAATTAATGAGAACTCTTGGGATCAGAGGACTAGGAGGTCTTGTAGGAGGCTCTGCTTTTTGATATGATCACATTTATAATCTAGTTTTGGACCTCTTTTTATGTATTGCTTCTGAAGATGATCTTAGCCTCCTCTCTTCTTAAGCTACTAAATCTCCATTTGCTCCACTTTCAGCATTTAACTTTGATGCCTTTTTGAAAAGGTAGCTCCTCCACCAACCCAGATTCCATTCCTTCTCCAGACTACTGTGTCTATGTCCCTGCCATCATCCATATATTTTTTGGTACATTGCATACATATTTTTAAAAGTGCTTTTGTTTTACAAATGATTTCTACCTGATTATCATTTTATTTTGTTTTTTTGTTTGTAATGGAATCCCCCTGATTGTCTGCATTCATTATCTGTATTTCTTCCTCATCTATTAATACTATCTCTTTAACTCCTTACAGTCTGGAAACATTTTTTGATAAATGAACTTTAAAATGCTGTCACTTTACTAACTCTACTGGCATTCCCTTGGTACTCCATTCTCTTTGACATGTTGTTAGCATTAAAACCAATTTTTTAGGAACTGGAAAAGGCTGGTTTACCATTTCTTCACTGAAAACTTCAAAGTGACTTTAAGTATGACCTAACACTGTAGACACTACTTCTTGCTTTTACTGTTTTCTTTGTATGTGTGTGTGTGCGTGTGTGTGTGCGTGTGCGTGTGCGTGTCTGCGTGTATCTGAAGATGATGGCAAAATCTCCCAACATTTTCTGAGGTGGCTCCACTTATATTTGGTTAGAATCCAGCTTCCTAAATGTGCTATAAAAATTTCTGAGTAATGAAGTCTTGCAGCAATCTTGACCTCAGTACTATTTGAGCCCAAATTGGACAACAGTATTTTAAAAAGTTGTGTGGGTTTTTTTCCCCTGAGAGCATGATTTTCTATGGCATATAAGTTGGGACAGTATTAGAACTTATCAGAAACCTGCAAAGACTTTGTAGTTCATATGAAATAGACCTTTTGATCACAGAGAATTAAACACTTCAGATATTTTTGAAGAAATTAGCTGAATTAGGAAAAAATAATATTGGCAGTAGGTATACTGATCATGTAGTAGGGCTGTGTTCATAATCTTCGTTTTCTGATGCTGTTGATTTTTATATGTTTGTTTGAAAAAATCTCAACTTTATCTTTTTTGGAGATGTACTGTGTTATTCACCACCAAGCACTGACTTTAAAATTCTGCCTCACAGTCTCTGAGAGGGTCTAAAGACAGTGAATATTGTCTATTATATGAAAAGTAATGTACTGGATATCAGATTATGTTTCTTGCTTTGTGAAGATTTAAATAGGCCAATCACAGATTTATTTTGTTTCATATTGCTC